GTCTCGCGACACTTCCTGAAGATGGAGAAAGATCTCCTTTCTAGGCGAGAGGAGCTTGGTCTTCTCAGTATCTCCAAGTGGCATGCCTCCGAGCGCGAGTCCAACAACACCCTCATCATCACGTTCTACTTCAAGGACGTCGAGAGCGTCCACAAGTTCGCGCACGAGGAGCTTCACCGCAAGGCACTGGACTTCTACAACAAGGCGAAGTATGATCACATCGGTGTATTTCACGAGACGTTGATCGTGCCTGCTAAGAACTATGAGACGGTTTATGTGAACTGCAAACCGGTCCTCATGGGGACCAGTGCCGTGAAGTTGGATGGTGAGAAGGGCAATGGGGGATCGTGGGCGACGCCGCTTGTCAACGCTGATCACCCGAATCTCAAGACTCAATATGCCCGATTAAGCCGGCATGAGAATGGGGTAGCAAAAGAGTGACTGTCAAATCGGGTTCGCTATGATTGGTAGATCGTCCTTTGTCACGAAACGTCTGGGAGAGGGTATCGTGCTGGCAAAGACGGGTCAGTTGGCTGGCGAGTAAAGAGCGGCAGTGTGGTGTTTTGGTGTTATAGGTCACTGATATGTGTATCTACCAAGAATGTATATCGTTACGATTTAACGCATCGTTGACCCAAGTTTCGGGCAGCGTGCATTTTGTGATGAAATGGTTGGTACAGACCAAAGCTCTTCCAGCATCTTGCGTTTGCATCAGGCCAGGTGAACCATAGCGAGTATTGGCACAACTAGACTAGAGTCTTCGATTTAGAAAGGATGCCGCTTATTCATTCCCAGAACGACCAATATATGAAACTCATAATATTCCGGTAAATGGATCCAAATGCCCATCTAATTACGAAGATCTGTGGGCATCATAGTAATCTCATACGTGATCCTGGGTTACAAGCTGAGGGATATTACTCCTCTGCCAGCACAGCCTCAAAATGCAATTAAAGCGATTCTCTGCTTCATGTCGTGCCTCTATTGAACCTTCCTGGAATGTAAAGGCGCCAAGTGCCAAGTAGCGGTGGAAGTCTCGCTTGGCGGTTATGTCGGCTGGCTGAGAGATGGCTTGGTAAGTTCGTATCGGCGGGACACGAAGATCTTTGATCACCAGGCCCTTTTGCCCCCGGATAATACTGATCTGACTATTCTCGGCTTTTCGAAACAGCGTTAGAAAAGCGAAGTCGTCGTTGGCTCTACAAGGTTTTTTTTTTTTCAAACGGAATGGAATGTCTCTCCTTGACTCGAGTTCATGAGTCATGATCACTACGGTAGTAGATCGCCTGCTACGGCGACGATCCTGAGAGGCAAAGGAGGTACCTAAATGAAATATATGAAAGTGAGAGGGGTTTTTACTCTCTTGCCGTCATACAATATACAATGAATGGCTGGGAGCGCTGGTGCGTGCATTGGCGCTGCGCAATGACGCTCTGTTTGTTCACACGCTGTCGCAGCCAAGCCGAGTACACACGAGTAAGGCGAGCCACGTTCAGGGGCAGGTCTTGGATTTAACTTCGACCCGTGACGCCTCTTTGTCTCCCTAGTTCCAGCCATCTTGGAATTTGGCTGGTCTTGGTACGTCACGGTTGGCACCAGTGAATCCCCCACCAATAATTTTGTCTCGCCTTCTGGAACAGGTGTGCACTACCAAAGGAGTGGCTGCTGGTTCAGGTTTTAAGCTTAGATTTCGCACGACCGCCGCTCTTAATCTGAGAGCCGGCGGCAATAATTACAAGCCATCTGCGAAGATACGAAAAAAAAGAAAGAAAGGGAAAATACGGACATTGAGCAGCGTCGGAGGCCTGGCGCTCGTGTGTGGTGGTTGCCGGCCCTCCCTCTTGGCCAGTGACGACGTCGGCATAGCGCACCTTGGCGCCTGGAGCAATCGACACACACGCGGCCATTGGGTCAATAAATTGGAATTGCCAAACGACAAGCTTTTTAAACACGGAGGGCAGCACAGCCTCAGAAAGCGGGCTACGCTACGGCCATGCGTCCATCGGATGGGTCCCAGAGGATCCGGGCCGTGTCATTGGCTGGCGGGCTGCATTGTCTGCCCCTGGCTGGCAGGTAAAATCACCATCCAACAGGGGAAACGCGCGCGCTCGTTTTGGTGCCGCCTCCCGTCATATCATGCTACCTGCTATACCCCCGTTGGCCCAACCAGCGGGCAAGTAGCGGTACAAGCTGCACAACCGCCATGGAAATCGCTACACCGTTTTGGCCACCACCACTAAGCCAGTGGACATGGCCCACTCCTATTCGGCAGCACCCCCCCAATAATAGGTCCTGCAGGCGGCATCCCATGGCCCATCCCATGGCTCTTTGTCCCTGACTCCATCCAGAATCTACTCTCCATCTCCTTCCCACTCAATCTTGCTCTCCCAAGCCGAGTTTCACCTTTCGACTCTGCAGCATCCTCCTCCAGGAAAGCCGGACCACGATTAGCTGTTCACAGGTGAACAGGGATTCCTTCATTTTCGCCTCGCCCAAGTCGCTCCCTCAGATCATTCATCCTGATTACACTGCCAACAAACGCGCTCGTTTCCTATGATCCACTGCTCGACCGTCGCTCCCGAGTATCCTCAGTTTCACTTCAATCGTTCTATGGCGGAAGCTTAATATCCTCATTGAAGAGCGCATTGCCTCCCACAGTCTGGTCCGGCACGCTCGCTTTACGACGTCCATCTATAATTACGAAATATCTTATTCACCTCATCGCATCACATCACATCAACATGTTGCTTCGTGGAGCATTCGCGGCCTTGGGCCTCATGGCCAGCACCAGCAGGGCTCTTGAAGTCACTGTCACCAACGACGGTGAGTCTAGTGCCGCTCTATATCGCCCGCAGCTCATATATTAACCCCAATGTAGCCTCTGTTAAAGCCGCCGCCGACACCGTTGCATATGGCCTGGTAAAGTTTTATACTGGTAACAACACCGGTGACGTTCCGGGCAACTTGCCTGACCCATACTACTGTCAGTTGCGTCCCATGGAATGAAAGCTGTAGTAGCCGCTGACTTTGTTTACAGGGTGGCAGTGTGGCGCCATGTTTGGCACTCTGGTCGATTATTGGCATTACACCGGAGACGATCAGTACAACGCTATCACATTACAAGCCATGGTTCACCAGGCCGGTGACGACGAGGATTACATGCCAAAGAATCAGACAATGACGCTGGGTAACGATGACCAAGGTTTCTGGGCCTTGGCTGCCATGAGTGCTGCGGAACACACCTTCCCGGACCCCCCTTCAGACCAGCCTCAGTGGGTTGCAATCGTGCAGGCCGTGTTCAACGAGTTTGTGACCCGTTGGGATACGGAGCATTGTGACGGTGGTCTCCGATGGCAGATTTTCAACTTCAACGCTGGTTGGAACTACAAGAACTCAATTTCCAACGGTTGCTTCTTTAACCTCGCCGCCCGCCTGGCCCGTTACACCGGCAATGATAGTTATGCAACTTGGGCCGAGAAAGTTTGGGACTGGGAAACGTCAATCGGACTGATCAATCTTACCAACTACGCAGTTTATGATGGTGTGACAATCAAGGACGGCGCGAAATGCCAGGATGACATGGATAAAACCGAATGGACATACAACTCCGGCATCTTCCTTCATGGATCAGCTGTCATGTTCGACGTTACCAAGGACACAAAGTGGAAAACCCATGTGGATGGCCTCATCAAGCATGGAATGGAAAAATTCACTGTGGACGGCGATAATATTGCTTACGAGCAGCTCTGCGAGCCTCATGGGACTTGCGACGACGATCAGCGATCATTCAAGGGATACTGGCTGCGCTGGCTTTCAGCTACCATTACGCTGATTCCAGATGTCAAGGATACTGTCTGGCCTCTGATGACGACCAGCGCTGAGGCTGCCGCCTCGGTCTGCATCGGATCTCCTACAGCGGCCATTTCCGGCCACCCGCCTTTCAAGGGAATGGCTGGTACTGCCTGCGGCTTCAAGTGGAACCCAACCAAGACTTTCGACAATTCCTTTGGTGTCGGTGAGCAGATGAGTGCGCTGTCTGCGCTCATCTACACTCTTGTGGACGACGCAGCTGCTCCAGTGACCAACACGACAGGTGGCACGTCTACCGGAAACCCTGGAGCCGGTAGTAAATCAGATTCAGAGAAGATCCGAGTCTTTGACCCAATCACCACTGCCGACCGCGCGGGAGCTGGTATTCTAACCACTCTTATTATCGGCGGTGTCATTGGTGGTTGCGCTTTCGTCAGTTTGTAGGGGAAGCATGGGATCTTGAAGCAAATGTTTATAGGCAAAGGGGGCATTTTACATACCAAGCTCTCGACGGCGTTTAAGGCGTTGACGCCATTAGATTCAGCACCACATTCACACACATTCTACTACTCATGCTAGCAGGCATATTTTAGGGGGGTATTTGCTGGATCAACTGGAGAGAAATCACACTTGCTTATTTGTTTATTTTATTTTTCTCTGCGCATTTCCCACCGGTTCGATCCAATGTCGTCCTTTTTATTCGGGTTGTTTTTGTTTACTACACTAGAAGGAAATAGTATATGCCGCTACAGGTTCGGAATTCATATGTCACGAAAGATAGCCAAAAAAAAACTTCATGTCCCAAGCAAGGCCTTTTCTCAGCAAGAAGCTTCCGCCAGTGAGACGCCTCCCGCCCTCCACTCCGAGGTACGCTGATTCGCTCGCGGCACTAGAGGCGGGAGGTTGCACCGTTACCGAACACATGAATTCCCGCCCCTCCTCCCCCTCCAGGTTCATGTAGCTCGGGAATACTGACACCGAAGTACAGAGCAGATGCACAGAAGATGGGAGGCGAGTCTCGATGTCCACCCCCACCCACCTCCACGTCATATGCGACTCATTTCCCCTCGTTTGTCGTTCGACAGAGGTCGGGGTAATTAAAGGAATCCGAGCAGGTCTCACATCCTCTATATCCTTCTTTTTCGAGCTCCATTACAATTGAAGTTTAGATTCTAAGCTACCTATCCGTCATGTCGTCCAAGCACTTTGTGAATGACCCGACGCAGCTGGTCAACGCCGCGCTACGCAGCTTGACGCTTACCAACCCGAATGTCGCCCTGGACGCGGAGAACAAGATCGTGTACCGCCGCCCTTCCGGCGCGCCTGCCCAGGTGTCGATCGTCTCGGGCGGCGGGTCTGGCCACGAGCCGTCCTTCGCTGCCATGGTCGGCCCCGGGCTGCTCTCTGGCGCCGTGGCGGGGACCATCTTCGCCAGCCCCTCGGCGGAGCAGGTGCGGACGGGGATCGCGGCGAGGGTCGACAGGGAGAAGGGGGTGCTGGTCGTGGTGATGAACTACACCGGCGACGTGCTCAGCTTCGGCATGGCCGTCGAGAAGGCCAAGGCGGCCGGGACGGACGTGCAGATGGTCGTGGTGGGGGACGACGTCGGCGTCGGCAGGGCCAAGGGGGGCAAGGTCGGGCGGCGCGGCATCGCGGGGACTGTCCTCGTGCTGAAGATCGCGGGAGCCCTGGCGGCGGCGGGTCGGTCGCTGGAGGAGGTGGCCAAGGTGGCCAGGCTGACTGCCGATAACCTGGTGAGCGTGGGCGCGAGCCTGGAGCACGTACACGTCCCGGGGCGGGCTGTGGGTGGCCAGGAGGACTCCCTGAAGGCGGGCGAGGTTGAGATCGGCATGGGGATTCACAACGAGGTGGGCTCTAGTCGTGCCGAGCTGGATCTTCCGGAGCTTGTGGGCAGGATGCTTGCTCAGCTGCTGGACCAGAACGACAAGGACCGAGCGTTCGTGAACGTGAACTCGAACGAGGTTGTGTTGCTGGTGAACAACTTGGGCGGAGTCAGCGCCTTGGAGCTGGGCGCCATCACCGATGAGGTTGTGACGCAGCTGAGCAAGTCCCACAACATCCAGCCCGTTCGTATCTTGAGCGGTACTTACATGACCAGTCTCAACGGGTTGGGCTTCAGCATCACCCTTCTAAACGTGGTCAACACTGATATCGGCGGGCCGGGCATGATTGAGCTCCTAGACGCCCCAAGCGAGGTCACAGGATGGACAGCACCCATCCAGAAGACTACATGGGAGGCCAAGAACACAGCTGTTAGAACTGACACAATAAAGGAGAACCAGGAGATCAAGCCAAGTGGTCTGACGGTGGATGTTTCTGGAACCTCCACGGCTCTGACAACTGGACTCGAGAAGGTCATTGCAGCCGAGCCGGAAATCACTAGATACGACACCGTAGTTGGAGACGGCGACTGTGGCATTGGACTGAAGAGGGGAGCCGAAGGTGAGTGCTTAGCCGTGAACCCAACGTACTTAGATTCCACTGTTCTAACGCCATCTAAAAACAGCCATCCTGAAGCACCTCGAACAAAAGCCCCTGACGGGAGACATCGTGGTTGACTTGGCCTCCATTGTCCCCGTCGTTGAAAATAACATGGACGGCACTTCGGGTGCGCTTTACGCCATCTTCCTCAACGCACTAGTTCACGCCCTCCGCGGTCAGGGATCGGGCCAGACAACGCCAAAGGTATGGGCCGCCGCTCTCAAGCAGACCTGCGATGCTCTATCCAGGTACACACCGGCGCGGCCGGGTGACCGAACCCTTGTCGACGCCCTCTACCCATTCGTGGATGTTCTTGAGCAGACGGGAGATGTGAAGAAGGCCGCCGACGCCGCACAAAAGGCTGCGGAGGAGACCAAGGGGATGCAGGCCAGCTTGGGAAGGTCGGTCTATGTTGGCGGGAGTGGCTATGAGGAGGTGCCCGATCCCGGTGTCTGGGGGCTTGCAACCTTCTTCTTGGGTCTAGCAGGACAATGAAGTTCTGGACGATGAGCTGCGCGTAAATCAATAGCACATGATAATAGAAAAAGAAGCACTTGGGGGATTACAAGACCATCATGGGATGCACACGATCACGTAAACGAACCACCAAAGAAAGTAGATGATAGCAAAAAGCAGAAAGTTTCATAACGCCTGGGTGTACAAACGCCAAATCTCGGTTTGTTTTTCTAATCATCAATCCCCCCCTCCATCCCATTCCACTGCACGAAAGGATTATTTCTCTAGCTCAGAAGCACCAGGATAACGCTATCGCCTCTCAAGAACCTAAAGAGAGCTTATGTTAGCAAACTGTTCAATGCTAGCACATAACCTGCTATAAAAAAGAGCTAGGTTGTGCGCAGGAGAGGTAGAAAGGACAGAGCGTACATCTTGCTGATGAATCGGTCCTTGTTCACCGGTCGTCCCTTCTTGCCATCTGCCAGTCGTGGCGTCTCCGTCCACATCTCCTTGACATTCTCGAGGACCATATTGCAGTGGCGATCGAAGGCCTTGACGCGAGCGAGCAGCTTGCGGTTGTTGCGGATCGAAATCAGAACCTGATTGTGGGAGCGGACGGCGGACTGGAGGATCGACAGAGGCCCGGCGGAGAACTCGTGCTCCTCGCGCTGCGCGATCTCGTACTCACTAAGCAAAAGGCGCGCAAACGATCAGTTTCCTGTGTCATGATGTATCGGGGGAGGGGGGCAGAGATGAGGAGTGGCGGTAAGTTTGTCGCGGGGGAGACATACGTTAGCTCTGAGCGCGGCTTGGTGAGAAGCTCTCTGGAGAGTTTGTTAGCATTCTGCAATGTGGATGGGGATAATTGGGACGCTGCATACTGAATCTTAGGGTCGGACATTGTGTGCGAGAGATCTCAATGTGCGACTGTTGTTTGATGTCGAGATGGTTCTGGGATGAGCACGCGCAAGGCTCCATCAAACGAAGCTCGAAAAGTTCAAGATGTTGGAGAAGCGTGCTGTTGATTGGTTGGAGCATATCTCTTGGTGGGGCACACTGGTAGACAGAAAAAAGATGAGCAGAATCAAATGCACCTAAGCTTGGCAAGAACAAGTCCACGAGGGAAGGAAGCCGAAATTAAGGAATAAGTTGAATAAACCTGAAAATCAAACGGAACTACTGCATTGAAAAGTTTCTAGTTTCATTAAGATGATCTTTTAAGAGCATTTCCAGATAACCAACCAGCGCAAGTTCACATCAATTATTTTTGTCAGGCTCACGCCATTCCCAACTGGGAAACATACTGGGTATCCTCGGGATAGAATTTCAACATGGAAAACCATTCCCGCCGCCGCAACGCTTGCTTCCTCGGCACAGATAAACCAACAACTCCCAACTTCCTGCCCATGGTTGATGCGCTTCTGGTCACATCAAGCGCATTGAGTATTGGCTTCTAATGTTCGCCCGGTCGATCACCGCACGAGCTGGCGTGGCCGCCAACGCTTCAAGCCGCCGAAGCATCATCATGGCTCGACAGCCTGGCTTCTCACTGGGCGCTCGTGCCGTAAGAGGCCCTTTGGTTCCCTTAGCCTTGAGGAATTGAATTTGAGGAGCTAATTTCTTGATAGCTTTCCACTGAGGCCACCCAGGTCAAGGAACTTGCAGGCGACGAGCCCCACGATGTCGTCTTCGAGAGCAAGTACGGTCTGCGAACCATCCTGCTCAACCGACCGAAAAAGCTCAACTCACTGAATGGGTCAATGATCCGCAAAATCGTACCTCGAATGGTTGAATGGGAGAAGTCGGATCTTGCCAACGTCGTTGTTATGAAGGGTGCGGGGGAGAAGGCTCTTTGCGCTGGAGGGGACGTTGCTGAGTTGGCCAGGTTAAACCAAAGCTCACCAGATGGATGGAAGGAATCGGCCGACTACTTCGCCCTCGAATATAAGCTCGATCACTACATCGCCACATACACGAAGCCCTACATCGCCTTCATGGATGGTATCACAATGGGCGGAGGTGTTGGCCTCAGCGTTCACGCTCCATTCCGGATAGCTACCGAGAAGACTGTCTTCGCGATGCCCGAGACTACAATCGGTTTCTTCCCAGATGTCGGAGCGTCCTTCTTCCTCCCCCGGATGAATGGATCTGTCGGTACTTACCTGGCACTGACCAGTGAACGTCTCACCGGCCCCAACGTCTTCTACTCTGGCATCGCTACCCACTATCTGCACTCCACCAGCCTTCCCGATCTCGAGGGTCGTCTGGCGGAACTGAGGTTCAGGGACTCCGACACGCTCGGCGACAGACTGAAATCGATCAACCAGACGCTGGAGGAATTTTCCACCGGCCTACCTTATGACCAGCCCATGCTGCTGAAAGGCGAACTTCGCAACGCCATTGACCGCTGCTTCAGTAAGAACAACATTACTGACATCATCCAAGCCCTACACCAGGAGCAGGGTGCAACCGAGGAATGGGCTAAGAAGACCTTGGATACCTTGAAGAAGCGCTCCCCTACTGCGGTCCATGTGGCCCTTAGGCAGATGCGCATTGGTGGTCAATGGGATATCGCCAAGACATTCAAGAACGAGCACGAGATTGCTACCAAGTTCATGAAGCACCCTGATTTCACAGAGGGCGTCACAGCCCTTTTGGTACGCAAGGAAACCCCCAAGTGGTCGCCTGAGTCGCTTGAGGCAATCCCAGCCAACCAGAACGTGGCAAAGCCATTCTTGACCTTCGACGCCCCTGAAAAGCTGGAGCTGTTCACCGACAGGACCTTCTCGGACTACCCTCACCGCTCGCTCGGAATCCCTTCCGAGGCAGAAATCGAGGAACTGGTATCCTCAAATCATACCTTGAGTCGCTCAGAGCTGGCCGCGCAGGTCATTTCTAGCCGAAACGGCCGCCAGGGCGTGGAGAAAATTGTCAACGAGATTATTCACCGGAAGACTAGAGTCAACGACGAAGGCAATTTAGTCTGGATCCGCGACGAGTCTGCTTCCAGCAAGCTGTAGACTTAATCACGGCTCATGAATTTAAGACAGTTCATTTTCATATTTTGGAGGGTGTAAGATAATTGAAAATATACATTTTTTATTCCATTTCATTGACATGCACATGGCCAAACGTATTAAATTAGAGAATGGGAAGGTTATGTAGGTAGCGAAAGTGAATGATGCCCCGTGCAGCTCTAGGTGGTGCCAGAGGGTGTCTCGCATGAAGGTGGGTGTTACGCAAGGGGTAGTGGGGTTGGGTCGTGAATCCAGCGTTGACCGATTGCAATGAGAATCAAATCCATCTATTGTGGCGCAAAATCCATCAAAAATGGTACAGAAATGGCCTCATTCGGGATCTGGGCGATTGAGCCAATTAAACGCCACCGGAATGGAGGGGCAGGATCATGTGTGCGTCGGGAAGTAGTGTGTGTGTGAAGGGGGGGTCGAACGTGATGATGGGAGTTAATGGGGACGAGGTTGCCTGCTGGGGCCTCACCGATGGGGCAAGTATAAAAGGAGACGGACCGCCCGCCCTCCCTGGAGGAAAGGAACGCAAAGCTGCTGGCCAAATTGTCCTCGGTTCCATGCTCTGACCGACTTGCCTTCCAAGCTGCCGGAGTTGTGTGGGCCAAAGTCCGTATGCTGCGAGCAACAGGACTGATATCTTGCCTGACTCTTGTAAAACAGAATTACAGCGGGGCCGAGCCCGGAGCCGGGGGTAAGCTGCAGATTGTGGTGGATCCCGCCGACCGCTCACCCGTCACCAAACCCTGGCTGCTGATTGGTGCCGCCACATCCACCGTCGAACGCACAACAGCACCTACTACCGGTATCCACCCGTATCAAAGACGCGGGTCACCGCTGTGCATATCGCGACAGACCTCCATTGTGGCACATCCCTACGCTCTGCTTGACGCTGCTTGGTTTTCCTTTCCCAGCATACTTTCCCTTTGTCGTGGATTTGTTTCTAACCCATTTTCGTGTCACCTATCTCCCGTTCCCGTGTTTGACCTTTTTTGTTGCACACATTGCATAAATCTTGGCATTATTTTATCCATCTCCGGCAGTCAGAGTGGGGGCACACGCTTAAGACGCGACCCGGAAGGAGAGAGCGCGTCACGAACCTCCCGCCTCCCAATTTTGATCAAGGGCCTCTATTATTCCAGGCCGAGACAATCAAGCCATCCCGGGCCAACCAACACTCCACCCCAGCAAATCCTTTCACCCTCAACACCACGTCCTTGTTGTTGCATCTCTACACCTACAACATCGTTGGTTGGATCAATCCGCGCGGCGTATTTAACCTCGTTCTCAGATTCTGCCATATCTGAAAAGCCTTGCATGCTTTCATCTCGAGGCCACCGCAGCGATGGCGTCGCCGATGCCAAATCAGCCATATGGCTCCTGGAACCACAATAGTCAACCGATGCCCGCCCAACCAGAGCAAGATGGCTCCGGTCTCCAGGTCAAGCCCATGGGCCGTATGTCTGATCTTCCGTGCGAGATTGAATGGATTGAGCTAATTAGCGGGTGCAGTCAAGGTCCATTACACCTTCGACAAGGACAGCAAGATAAACTGTCTCGCGAGATACCCCCACACACTCAACATCCAGACCGCACCGATCGACGAGAGGAGCTCCATTGGCATTATCGATCTACGCCTGTGCATTCAAGCCATCACCGAGTGCAGCCCTGAGCTCCTCGGGCAAGAGTGCGACTATACCGTCTACGCAATCGACTACTCAGAGCCCGATACCCCCTTGGCTGGCCAGGGCATGCTATCACGAGCCATCGATTCATTGCACGGCAACATGGGAGGTCAACCACCCAAGATGGTTACTGGGCGAGTAGCGAAGAACCTGCTAGGCGTGTTTGGAAGCGGTACCCGTGAAACCTTGGAGGTCAAGCTGAAGCTTACAGAAGCTGGAAAGCGACCGCCACCTCAAGAGGCACCTCAACAACCACCCCAACAGCTACCTCAACAAGTGTCTCAACAACCACCTCTGCAGGCACCTCTGAAGGCAGAATTGCAACAGCAACAGCCGTCACAGCCACAGCCACAGCCAGGGCCACCCGAAACAGCCCTTACTCCCACCGGAGCTGCCGAGTGGAACTCATTCATCCAGTCCAACCCTCACATGGGTCAAGCAGGAACCTTTTCTAGAGGTGCCTCCCCAGCTTTATCTCAAGGGCCTGCACCCGTTATGCATGAGAGACGCGACTCGTTTGCCCGGAACTCGCAGCAACCGGTGCTGCAACCAAGCTTTCAGAGAATTGCTCCCCAACCCGTCGACGGGGCAACGGCCGCTGTGAATATCCCCATGGCCCCAACATCTCGACCTTCTAGCAGAGCCTCGAATTCGGGCCGAGTGAAGAAGCAACCCACAGGTCGCCCACGGGGCAGGCCAAGGAAGAAGCCAGCAGAGGGGAATACGTCGGGATACGAGGATGGGACTGAGGGTGAGGATGGCCCAACCAAGAAACGAGCGAAGACGACCAAGGTAGAGAAGTCTCAACTCGACCCATTCGGGGCTGGACCTGAATCCCTGCGGGTAGCGGCAAGTACTTCGGGGTCTATTCGAAGTTTTCGCCCCGTTGGCATTAACAGTGAGGGAGTACCAGGTAGCCACCTCCAAGAAGTCCCCAGAGCGCCCACGCCTGTCCCCAAAGGCCCGATGTCCGGCCATCATGGCAGGAAACAGACCAGCCTCAGGCGCGAGTCAACAATGAATCGTGAGATTTTTGCAACTCAACCATCGCCCCTGGAGGAAAGACAAAGCATTTTCTCTCAAGGCCAGGAAGATGAGCGCTCCCCAGAGTCCACAGCGCCTACTCCAGCATACTCCGACGACAGCCAAGCTGATATTGGCTCCTCCCCGCCCGTTGAACCAACCGCTTCTTTTATTCGTTCAAGTCCCCCTCTGTCCAGCCCAGATCTACCGCCTATGCCAGAACCGCGTGATGCTGATGGCGAAAAGCTTCCTAACGAGGAAGACCTTGGGGATTTGTTTGGAGAGGAAACCATTCGAGCCCCTCTAGTTGAGAGGGCACCAGCATTTCCGCAAAATCGCAAGGCTGGGCCCCGTAAGCCCACCTCGACAGTACCAATACAAATATTTCGAATGGAAGCCGGTCCCGACGGACAAGACATGGTCCACATCAGAAGCTACAATACTCCAGAGATAAGTCCTGCGGTTTCTGGTGCGTCCAATGTTTCAAATAGTACCACAACGAAGAAGCGCGTCGCAAAGCCACGGTCACAGCCAGCTCAAAAGAAGCCACAAATGCCATCCCCCCCTGAGCTTGCACCCACCCCCCCTCCAACCACCGATGGTGTTGAGAAACCGGTCAGCCCAATGCCAACCACATCAGTGGTCGAGAAACTTACCCCGATTGATCCAAATCCTTCGGTTCCTGCCTCTCTTCCTCCTCTTAATCCTGCCCCCCTCACAACCTTTCATCAACCCCCCGCAGAAATTGATGACGCATTATCAAACATGGTGTTTCCCCAGGAGCCGAATCTAGAAAAACAACCAGAGAATGGAATTGAGGCTCCCAAGGAGCCCATCCAACCCAAACCCAAAGAGACGAAGGCAAAACCTCCGCCTCGAAAACTAGCACGATCCCAATCAGCTGGTCCTTTAGCCCTCCCACTTCCCACAATCCCAGCCAGCGAGCCTGCTGGCCCCTCGTCGCTCTCTCAGTCGATGACGGCAGAACACGAGCCTCCCACTAAGAGCAGGCCCTCGAACCTCCGACGATCAACTTCCAGCGGTCCCCTGGCTCTTCCCATACCCGCGAGTGATCCTGTTGGCCCCTCACATGTGTCGGCTCCCCAATCAGCATCATTAATCTTCCCTGAACCATGCCGCCTTGCAGATCTTCCTCCTCTTCCTTCCTCGCCTACCGGTAGCAAATCTAACAAGAATATTGTGAAGAAGCACGCAATAAAGCAAAGGCTCGAGGCCGCCATCATGAACGGCGAAATGCCTCCTTTCTGCAGTAACTGTGGTGCAATTGAGACCCCCACGTGGCGAAAGATCTGGGTCCAAGATTTTGATGGTGCGCCTGGCAACATTGACTTCTCTTCAAAACCTGGGAAAGTCACTGCATTAGAAATTTTGGGTCGCGACAACGATGACAAGCCCACATCCTATCGGCTTATCAAGAAAAGTCTTGGCGACGAGGAGGACAAACCTGAGTGGCAAGGACATCTGCTTTGCAACCCTTGTGGCATTTGGCTAGTCAAATCACATTGCCACAGACCGCAGGACCGATGGGATAAGGACGCTTCACGTCTTGGGCAACGACGAAAGCGAGCGAATGGGGCTGAAGGAGGAAGGTCTCGTTCCAAGAAATCACGAACGAAGAGCGATGCCCAGCCAAACCAGGCATCCCAGGCTCCTGAGATAGGTCTCTCCATGTCTCAAGGGGTCCCCACCGAGACTCAGCCAACTCCTCAGGATGACCCGACCCCAAGACTGCCAGATGAGGATGGAATCTTGGATTACCAACCTCCTTGGCATCAGAATCAAAGCTTTGATGAAGCGGACATGGTGAATGAAATGCAGCAGTATCTTGGCTCGACGCACTCAAGAGGTAGTGGCGGGTCTAAGACCCCAACAAAGCATAATAATACGGACGATGGATTGGGAACCACCAAACGGTTACTCTTTCCATCCCCGCGAAAAGATGATTCTCCCAAGGTTCTTGGTGAGGTAGACATCAATATTGTCCACATCCACGATGAATCTCGCCAACTCAAGGGGCTTGAGGGCGAGGAGAACAACCCTATTGTCGGAGAAGAGACTAACATGGAGCAAGAAGAGTTGGAGGCTTTATTCAAAAGCCCTGCTGTGGCCCGGCCATCAACGCCACCACCAAACGCCAAGGCAGCACCTCCTTCGACTCCTTTCAAAACGCCATCCCGGGCAACACCCAGCCATAGACCGATTACTAGAAGTGTCTCACGGTCGATTCGCTCAATGCGGTCTAAGACGTCGCCAGGCGATGTCGAACGGACCCCCACCAAAACACCAAGAAGCCGACGAAGCGATCGTAACTTACAATCCGATGGCAACTTCGGCGAAGAGCTCAAGGGATGGGATACACCCTGCAGCACGGCGATTGCAAAGATGCTCTCCGATAGCCATGCAATGCTCTCTGATCCCAACTTCGGCTTCAGCGACGAGATGGACATTGATTTTAGTGACTTGCCCCCGATGGAAGCCACTCAGAACTTGGTGAAGGATGTCAGCAACTGGCTTAGCACAGACGGGGCAATGCCGACGTCACCGGTTAAGAACGCCCACTTCTTCGAATACGACGGATCAGCAGATGTGCTCGAGCAATGGAACCTCATGCACGGAGCTGAACTCAAAAGCAAGAAATAATTGAACGGCAGTGTTGGCATTGATTGATTCTAATGTTTTACGAACATGTATTTTGGGCGTATGGGCAACAGCATCGACAACGTTGTTTTATGTCGAGGCGAGGCGTTATGTGGAATGAAAAGGCTTAATTAAGTAACGGGAGTTGCAGAGGATTTTCTACGCTGAAAGATTCTAGCCGGGATCAGTCTGATCAGCCCGTCTGCCAGACCTCAAGCTGTGACGAAATAACGTATTGATTGGTCATTTTAAGAACAGCGTTAGTTTTAGTAGCATAGCAACAGAACAGCTTTGGATGAAATTCAAAGAATATCACAATACATTATAATTTCTCAGCTTTGACTAATCCTCCTTTCTATTGACACGATTCACAAGTTGAAGCTAGCCATGAGTACGATGCATGTCAGATGAGAAGAGTCAAGCGACGCAGGAAGCATTCATATCTTGTCTCGTTTGACTGGTTGGACGTCATCTTGAATTGGGTGGATAATGTACATGTGGGGCGGCACTTTACACGTTCGAAACGCGTCTCACAGGCTCAAGCGCGTTTCTCCCCACCACTGTTCTGATATTCTGCTACTTTGATCACTATAGAACAACATCAAGTCGCCAAGGTATCAAAATCAATTGAAGCACAAGAAAACAAACCTACATTGCGGAATATTCGTCTTCACCATGGCGGAAGCCGAGCTTCAAGGTCTCTTCTCACCAAACAAGCCGCTCGAGCCCGATGTCTTGACCGAGCTGCAGTCCATCATGCGGCTGCACAATCTCACGGCCGAGGACCTATTCTACAAATGGGAATCCTACTGCATTACCATGGATATCGATAGCCAGGCCATATCATTGGCGGTTATTCGGAATTTGAAGCAGACAATCCTGGACTCGCTCGAGAAAACCAATAACCAGCGCGGCCAGGCCAAGGTCCATGCCACACCAAGACCAGCAGCCAGGGGCGGAGGCGGCGGAGGAGGCAACATGCTTGACATCCTGGAGGGCTATGGCCCAAGCACTCCTGCCACCGGGGGGAAGCTGGTCCATCGCGGCGGCAGTGGGTTAAAACGAAAGCTGGATACTCCTATGGCTACAGTGGGAAGCTCGCCAGTTACAAGTGGTATGGGCGATCAGCTGAAGGCCCTGAATGTTAATGGGACATCGTGAGTACTTGGTCCTTTCGGCTCCATATATTTCATCCTGGAAACTAATGATGTTCAGTTCTGTCCCTTTCAACGAGCGAAAGAATGCTGGTGAAGTGGTCGAGACTCTAAACGATCATTTACCAGTCGCCGAGCCACCAATTGCGCCGTACTCGGAGCCAAGGATCAAATTGACGGCCGCCTCCGACCAGAAGAAGATGGCTTACAAGCCATTGGCGATGAAACTGTCCGAGGCGAGCGAGATCCTCGATGACCGAATCGATGAGTTTACCAACCTTATTCAGGAGTACCATAAGCTGGATGACTCTGCCTTCGGCAGTGCGGCTGCGCAGAGCACCACGGAGGTGGTAGCTGTTGGCCGCATAGCGTCAGATGCAATGGAAGGCAAACTGAATGCCGCCTCTCTCGTCCTTGAGACTCCCAGACGCTTGGGGATGGGCCTACGAGTTCCCTTGAACATGAGCAGGCAAAAGAACTGGAGCTTCTTCCCCGGTCAGATCGTGGCACTTCGGGGAATCAACACCTCGGGGCATGATTTCATTGTAAACGAAATTCTCTCCATCCCCCTTCTCAACAATGCCGCTTCTTCTCCCTCGAATCTGGAGGCACATATCCAGAGGCTCCATGGTGGCGCCGATGCCATGGATTCGGACTCAGACCCTTCCCCTCTAAACATCATATTCGCGGCTGGCCCATACACAGCAGATGACAATCTTGATTTCGAGCCACTGCATGCTTTGTGTACTCGGGCCGCAGATACCTACGCCGATGTATTGGTTCTGAACGGTCCTTTCATTGATGTCGATCACCCTCTAATAGCCACCGGAGACTTCGATCTGCCGGAAGAGGCGCAATTTGACCCCGACACTGCCACCATGACTACAGTTTTCAAGTATCTCTTCTCCGTCGCCCTCAACCGGCTTTGCTCGATAAATCCCCATCTCACTGTCGTTCTCGTGCCTTCTGTCCGAGACATAATCGATAAGCACGTCTCCTGGCCTCAGGATGCCTTTCCCCGCAAGGAACTCGGTCTGCCAAAGGCCGTCAGGATTGTCTCCAACCCCATGTCGCTCTCTATCAACGAAATGCTCCTGGGAATCTCTAGTCAAGACGCCCTGTTTGAGCTGCGTTCGGAAGAAGTGAGCAAGTTTGCCAGCGGAAACATGCTAGAGAGGTTGTGTCGTTACCTGATTGAGCAAAGGCACTTCTTCCCTCTCTTTCCTCCCATGGATCGGAAGAGCCTGCCGAAGACGGGTACAGAGGAAGGTATTGCTACCGGTGCTGTGATGGATGTGAGCTATCTCAAGCTGGGCGAGATCATCAATGTGCGTCCAGATGTGATGGTCACGCCAAGTTCGTTGCCTCCGTTTGCAAAGGTATGTTTTTAGGTATTTCTAAGCTATTGTTGTTTGGAGAGTTTGCTAACAATATAACAGGTGGTGGAAAGCGTGCTGGTCATCAATCCCGGCCCTCTATCGAAGCGTCGCGGTGCAGGCACCTACGCTCGTATGACATTGTATCCGCCTACTATCAAAGATGCCGGGGTAGATCAAATGCTGGATCACAGAATATATGAGAGAGCGCGGGTAGAAATCGTTAGGGTATAATGTTTACGATATAATAGAAATAAAAAGGAGGCACTTGGCTTATATTACTTATATTTACAATGAAGGTGTCACCTTTTTTCACCTGCTGTCGACTTTGCGTCTCTTGTCGCCGTCGTATCTGTCCCCTTCGCGGGAAGTGCTTCGTTTCCGGCGAGTTCTATGATCCTCATGATCACGATCCCGGTCACGATCTCTCCGAGGTGATCTTGAGCGTGATCTAGCACGCCGCCTCTCGTCATCTCGTGAACGGTCTCTTGAGTGGTGGCTGTGTCGGTCCCGTCTGTCATCCCGCCTGTCGTCGCGTCTCTCTTTACGATCACCCAGCGGGATGGCATTCGCGCCTTTAGCACCTCTCTCGTCGTCGGGTCTGAACCGGTCGTCATCTGGCTGGAACCGATCATCGCCACCAAACCTGCCCTCCCCCCCTCTCCGTCTCCCATCATCGAACTGACCCCAGCGACCAGTGTCCTCGGTCCTCATATCCTTGTATCTTGTGGCACCCTTCTTTCCTAGCTTGGTCATGTCTCTCCGTTGCAAGAACTCCGGAAGAGCCTCACGATTCCGAACATCGTCCTGGATACGACTTCCCATGATATCACGCTGAAGCAGACCAGCCGCCTCAGACTCCTCTTGGAAGAATGCGCCCTTGTGGAAGTACCGCTGCATGTACGACATCTTGCCCTTGCCCTCCTTCTCCTCCTTTTGTCTCGCAATGTGCGCCTCGTCTTCTGCCTGCCGCTCCTCCTCGGTGAGGTTCTTGCGGCGCTCGACTTCGGCCAGCTCGGCCTCGCGCTCCTCGATGGCGGTGCGCGCCCGCTTCAATCGCTTCAGCTCGCGAACGCGCCACGCAGCCTCCTCCGCCTCGGGATCCAGACCGTCCGTCGTGTCGACGTCCGACTCCTCGTTGTTCTCGTCGTCCCAGTGCTTCTTCCCCGCCGCGCGCGCCTCGAGGTCCTTCTTGATCTGGTCCTCGACGAGCTGGTCGGCCGCCTTCCTGCGTGCTTCCTCCTCGGCCAGGCGCGCCGCCTCCTCCTTCTCCTGCTCGTTGGCCTTGCCTCGCTGGTTCTTGGGGATGAACTTGGGTCGCATCATCAGGCGGCGGGGCGCCTCCTCCTCCTCTTCACTACTCTCCTCCTCGGAAGAGCCGCTTTCCTCGTCGTCGTCATCGACCTCCTCTTCGGAAGATTCACCCTCCTCCTCCGTCACGAAGCCTTCCTCCGCCGCCAGCCGCTCTGCTCTTTCCGCCGCGATCCGTTTCTGCTCTTTTGTCTCGGCCTCCGTTCTGCGCGCGTTGAGGTCCACCTTCCCCAGGTTGCTGACGATCCTGCCGGCGCTGGTGGCTTTCGGCGGCGGAGGGACGGCGGCCTGCTCCTCCTCTCCGGACCCTTCGTCTTCTGAGTCTGAGGAGGACGAGTCGCCGCCGGCTGGCTTGCCGGGCCTGTGTCGCGCCGGCCTAACGGGGTTCGCCGTCATGCGTTTAGGAGGCATTCTCGCGATTTAAGGGTAGGCTGAACTGAGCTTCGAAGCTTGATCGTCTTGGTGTCGTCTCGAGCTTGTTTTCTTGAATTTGGCTGGGTCCAGTTGCGATAAGATCGTATCGTTATCGATAATGACTCCTGGATCTTGGGCTACCCTATAGACATGTGGGATTTTTACCTTTCCTGCGGTTTCACTCTAGATTTTGTGCGTGGCTTTGGTTCGTGTTGTTTTATTGTAATTTATTGACTTCAATTGGGTAGTTAATTATCGTCTCAATGGGTTGGCGATCGTTGTGTTGTGCTTGTGAGGCAAGGTCATCCTGCAGAAAGCAGTCCATCTTGATTGAATGCTAAGATCCCCACTATCAACATATCAACCCAACAAGTCAACTTCAAACAAACGAGCTTCGCCTCGGACAGCCACCAAGATAAATCGCTCACGAAAAACGGGCCACTTATTTATGATTGAAGCTATGTCACAGCGCACCGCAATTATCACGGGCGCCACAGGCCTGCTTGGCCGGCAAGTGAAGAATGCCTTTGACACTAGAGGCTGGACAACTAAGGGCACTGGCTACTCCCGTGCCGATGGAGTTAATATCCTGAAAGTCGAACTGGGGAGCGAGGACGAAGTACGCAAGATGCTTGATGAAGTGAAGTACGCGGGTTTCTTCCCGGCTTGAAAATGCCGTTACTGACTCTAGGAATCGCAACATAAGACCACAGGTCATTGTCCATTGTGAGTCTACGCCTTTTGCTCACCAGTCTTTGAGGTTTACGAATATTGACGTAGGTGAGGATAGGCGCCGCCCAGAGGTTCCCAGACAAGGTTGATAAGGACCCAGAAGGTGCAAAGGCCTTGAACGTAGAGGCGAGCAGATCACTGGCCCGCCTGGCCGCTGCACGGGATATCCTGCTCATTTACATCTCTACCGACTACGTTTTCCCTGGACCTCCAGGAGATGCCCCTTACGAGGCTGATGCAGAACCTAAACCTACGAATCTGTACGGTCAGACCAAGTTCGAAGGTGAGAGAGCCGTCCTTGACGAGTATGCAAAGGCAGGCAAGACGGGGTTCGGCACGACTCTCCGGGTGCCTGTTCTCTACGGTGTGGCAGACAAGCCATCCGACAGTGCCGTCAATGTCTTATTGGACATTGTCCAGAAAGCAGACGCGGAGAAGAGCAAGGTGGTGATGGACCACTGGGCCATCCGATACCCCACAAATACCGAGGACATTGGACGCGTCTGTCATGGTATGTAACAACCCCTCTCTGGAATTCCTCACCGTGCAGCCACCGGGCGGTATCTGAAGACCTCATTTCCGCTGACCATTTATTTCCTCATCCGTGTAGATGTGGCGGAAAAGTACCTTGGCGTGGCGGACAGGAGTACGCTGCCGACCATTCTCCAGTTCTCCAGCGAGGACAAGATGACCAAGTACGAAATCTGCCAGAAGCTGGGCGAGATCTTGAACATATCGACCGAGGGGGTAGAGCCGAACACACAGGGGAACGACCCGCAAGCCTCTGTCCAGCGGCCGTACGATTGCCACCTCAGCACCAAGGTATTGAGAGACTTGGGAATAGATGTATCAACCGTCGACTTCGCGGACTGGTGGCGCCGCCACATTCGCACGACGGAATAGAGACGTGCGGATGGATGCAATTTCGGGCTTGGCTGAGCAAAACTGCAGAAAACCAGAGTCCACGAGTTCACAGCTGGGCACGCGGGCCGAGGGAAGCTTAAGAGACTAGATCATTTGCGTCCCGTTTCTCTCACGTTCCTTTCTTCATAAAAGCATCAAGTGTAAGGTTGGCATATGGCACGTGTGAGACCGGCTCAACATATCAAGGGGGGGAGGGGGATTTATTCTTGTATCTCGTAACATCTCCCGCCCCGTGATATCTTATCGCCATAATATTTCGAGGGCACGTTTCTTGCGGTGGTAAGGGAAGCAGAAGGCAATAAACAGTTCTGGAATGGGGGCGTAGCGGCTGAAAAAGAGCATTTTCCAGTATAAGACTGCTCCATTAGGCAATTGCCCTGTACGTCAAGGGGTCTGAGAATGGCAATATGTCTCGGAAACACGCGAGGAGAGGTATTTGGCTCCATGCCTCCCTCACCGGCAGCCTCGCCGCGTTTCTCAACGCCCTGGAAGGGAGTATGAGTATGGCTTTATGTTGGGCCTCGCACGCCCTCTGGGACAAGATAGACTTCTCCCTATCATTCACAACTTCTGCGGCCCCCGAATACGTTGATTGTTGCGTATGGGTTATTTACATTCTGGTTGATTCATTGACTGCTCCTGGAGGTTGCAGTCGTCCGTTCTTTTCAGCATTATACCTATTTGATTGTCTATTCTTGTTTTCAGCATCGAGATACGTTTTGTCGACTGCATCTGGGTGGACTCGGTGTTGTAGGACTGGGGAAGCTGTAAGCAGAGGGAAAAGAGAGAGGACAAGGCAAAAAGAGAAAGGCCAGACAAGGCAAACAAGGAATGCCTTGAGTGTGGGAAAGGGGAAAGAAGAGAAGATATCAGAACAGGAAGAGAGCAGCAACACCTGCCTGTCTTCCGGTATCAATCAGCCAACGGCCGGCCGCCTGCTGAAAATACAGGGGCTGCGATCCAATGGAAGGACCCTTGGACACGGCCATAGCGCCTGTGCCAGTTCCGCCCAAGCGAATGGCGCCTCCGCCTCCGCCGCCGAGGGCTTCTCGGTATCGGAGGCTGCGAGGGAGCAGCGTGTCGTCGCCTCCGAGCAAGACCTTTGATGTCTACTGCGACGGGCTCCAGGAGGAGGATGAGGAGGCATATGGGGCGCTCAGACGGCGGTCCAAGAGCTCGTCGGCGCTGCGCTCCAAGAATGTCGTCTCGTGCCTGGGAGGTGTGCCAGCTCATAAACCTGGACCTGGTGGCACCACCTTGGGCGGCGCCGAGAACAGCCTGCATCAGCTCGTGGGTGCAGCAAGGCCAGATCCAGACTCTGTGCCGCTTCAATTGCCAGTGCCACACCCCGCCGTCGCGCATTTAATTCCTCTGCCGCTCAATCCCAAGCCCAGAGCGCGCACGTCCACCGTCCCGACAAAACCAGCGCCGCCTCCCAAGATCGAGGTTAGTTTGTGCGACGACCAGGAGGAGGACGACAGCGCCAGCACCAGCACCGGCACCAGCACCGGCAACAGCACGGGCTCGAGCGCGACCGACGCCACCCCACCGAGTCCAATTGAATCTGGGCCCCCATCTCCATCCCCCAGCCTAACCTCGAGTCTTGCGCCCAAGGCGGTGACTGCGACTGCGACCCAGGACCAACCCCTGGACGACGAGCGCCTGGCCGAGGAGGTTGCGCGGCTCGAAGCCGAGACAGATCGCATTCTTGCTGAGCAGAAAAAAAGGGATTTGGTCCGCCTCCACGCACAGCAGCTTGACGCGACACCACCCAAACCGCGATTGTTCCTCGACAAGCTTTCGTTCCTGACCAGGAGTACCCCGTCAGAAACCGACAGCCAGCCAGGAACCCCCACCAAGAGCCCCAAGAGCCCGTCGTCGTCGCCCAGGTCCTTCCGCCTTCCCTGGAGTCCCTCGTCGATCAGTTTCCTAGGATCGCCAGGCGCCGACAAGATGGCGTTTATTGAACACGGCGGCGGGGGCGTCGTACCTGGCATAGACGCCCCAACTTCAGCTAGTAACGGTGGAGAACGCGTAAGTGCTTGATAATCCAGTTCCGCGCTCACTCACTCATCGCGAGTGTTGCGGGCGCTGACGAGTCTCGAAATGAATGATTGCATGCTAACTCTAATTGCCCATTGTACAGCGAGTGACGGTGAGATGCCTGTCATCCACAATCAACCTGCCTGTGACGCCTGACACCACACCCATTGACATCGCGTATTCGACGGCCAATTTCATCACCCACACAATCAACCCTGCCAACACCATTGTGGTTGAGTGTTACGATGTTCTCGGGTTGGAGCGCCGTGTGCGCCGCTACGAGCGCATTCGAGATGTCATGAACTCGTGGGACCGCGACCAGCTCAACTCCCTCATGGTGCTGTGCGAGGACGATCTGGAGGAACACCGTGATCTCGATGCCGCTGCGGTGTCGCGCTCAGAGGAGGCGCCCACGGGCTTCTGCTACCAACTCTACCACTGCTCTAAGCCTGGAAAATGGAACAAGCGGTGGATTACCTTGATGGACAACGGCCAGATCTTCGCCGCCAAGCGTCCTGATTCTAAGCCGACAGACAAGGATAGCGTGATGCTATGCCACCTGTCGGATTTCGATATATATACACCAAGGGAGAGCCAGATGAAGCGCCATATCAGACCTCCCAAGAAGTATTGCTACGGCGTTAAGAGCCAGCAGAAGGCAAACTTCTTCGCCAACCAGGAGAATTTCCTCCACTATTTCTGCACAGAGGACCGTGCCCTGGCAAATCGGTTATACGAGCTGATCCATGGCTGGAGGAGTTGGTATCTCGCCCACAAGCAGGTCGGCATCTTCAAGCCCAAAGAAGAAGAATCACCCTTGCGGCCTAGAGCGAAGACGAATGAGAGTTCGAAGAAATCAATGAGCATTGCTCGACGAAACACTCAGCGCTCACCCCGTTTGTCTCTTGAGAAGACTCCATACACAATTGGCGAGTTTGCACCTCTGCTTGACATGAGTGATTTCGACAAGCCGCTTGAAGAATTCGGCAAGAATATCCCACCACCGCAGCCCGCGGCGGCCCCCGCGGCACCTGCACAGAAATCTAAAGACGTACCACGACCGCCTGTGAGCCTGATAAAGCAAAAGACAGCCGGTCCAGGAGGGGATCCCGACCAGTTCCTCGCCGGTGGGCTTCTCGGCCACGCATACGACCAGCGCAAGCTGCAAGAACAGGCTGCTCTGGCCGGCAAGGCGGATGACGGTCCCTTTACCGGGGGTTCCTCACTACTGAGCAACGTTCCCGCGGCGACAGCTACCGCCAACGAGCCTGAAGTGAGCCCATGGCTGCCTTCCGCCT